GTTGTCTCAAAACAAGGCCTTCCCAGTCAATGCGGCAGGTGAATAGTGTGTGAACTCTCACCGCTCTTCTATGAATCAGTTTGCAAATGACACACGCCACCTCTGCTCATAGCCCGTTGGTTGGAATTAGTCATTTGGCCCTACTGAATGCAAGGGGCTGAGACATTTGGGGGACATATGTGATAGTTAGTGAACACAAACATCTTGCCACAAATGAAAATGTTAGACTGGAAAAGGACTAATCCTAGATAACGATTCAGCAGTGAAGCCACATTGCTGAATCCCCCTAACCCAACAAAGTAAACAGAAAGGAGTTGAAAAGGAAAACAAGTTAAAAATTTAAACATATAATCTAAATGAAAAATATAACTTATTAGAAGCCAAAGGATTGAGAATAGAATATGCGAGAGAGAACTTCAAGGATAAAATATTTTAGTTGGTCTGAGATGAAATTTATTCTGTTATTCTAGAAAACTGTAGTTCCAGAAAGTTTATTTTCTGGCAGGATCCCTGAATTTTTTACCTGTTTAGGAGAACATCCCCCTTTCAGTCATAACATAAATAAAGGGAGGCAGAGCTTTGAACACATTAATTTCTGAATCATTCCTAAGTAATTTCATCACTTATAAGAAGAAACATTTTTGATTGGGTCTATCATGAGACCAAGACTACATTTATTATTTAAACTTCTTCTGTTACATAGACAGGTTATTATGGCTTTCCAGAAATAGCTGAGGGTTGGTGTACAATAATTCCTTAAAGATTCATTAATGAATTAAAATATTCCTTAAAGAATTTTCCTTTTTCCAGTTCATAGTTACCTTGGAAAGTAGACAGAAGTCTCTTGAGAAGATCTAGGAAACATATCAACTTTGGGTTTTGTGGCCTTCGTTTATCTCATCGTCAATCAAACAGCTGGGTAGGCAACTAGAATTGCTCTTTCTTGCCTAAATCAACATTTTAAATACAGAATCCCTGCTGTGTGTAGCCACCATGTGTCTCAGACATGATTGCAATCCTTTTATGTACAGAAACTCATTTGATCTCCCAAATTACTCACTCCAACAATGAAATTTATTTGCATGGTGAAATGGTGAGTTGGAGAATTAATTCTAGTACCAACTGGAGATAATAATTTCTGAGATTTGAGTACTGCCCTGAAGGATTTAGTGTATTAAACTAGAAACCTGCTCTGACTGAAGTAAGCCAAATTCCTGAAAACCTTGGGGAATCTGGAATGGAGAGACAGCCACCTCCATACATTCTGAAACTGTTACCATAAGACTATTTTAACCTAAAACCAGAGTTACTGATGCCTAAAGGAGTTGTATTAACATAGGAATGCTGCAAATGTATCCTGTGAGCCGTACTCATGCGTCTGTACCTAGGATGCAGCAGAGAACCACTCATTAGCCTACATGATGCTGTGAAACCAACAGAAAAGCTGACGTACGGACTAGGGGCTGTCTCCTCCCTTCCTCTTTATTCTCCCCTTCTCTGTGATTATACAAATGGTAAAGTTCTGCTGGTTCTTTGGAGAGGACTTCCTAGAGCTACTTGGTGTTTTCCTGGGTCACGGTCACACATGTTAGCTCAAATCAACTCTTTAATATTTTGTCAGTGCCTCAGGATCTTTTTCCAGGTTGTACTTCTGTTCTAAACCAGCTTCCAGTATATGATACTCTTTTTCCATAATTAGGATACGTTGGATCTGGGAAACTGTCAAGCAAGGCTGACAGATTTGGCTAAGTAAAGAAACAATAGACCCTTCTAAGATTCAGGCAATTTATGACTTACATAGCAAAAGCAAGAAGGGCAAAGGTGCCAGCTCCCCGTGTCCTTTGAACCCCAAGGTAGCACTGGAAAACAAGGGGCTGGATGATATATGATGCAACACGAATGCTGCATCCACGTTGCAGCTGAACTCTAATGGGGGTGAGGGAGAAAGCCTCAGGCCTCCTCAGAACGTGGGAAGTGATGAGAAACTGTGTCGTGGTAGAGTCCAGAAGATGAGCAGGTGAGTGGGAACTGGTCTTGAAGCAGCTTTTCTCAAGCCTCCCTTGTGCTCATGTTTTGGAGGAATTATTGGCAGAATATGATATTCTGCCGAGACTCAGATCAGATCAGCTGCACTTATGTCTTGCCCATGTGGTCTATGTGGAAACATGTAGGAGACCAAAAGGTGCCACCCCAAAATATGCCTCTTTGGCATAAGGATTATTTTGAGAAACAGCAGACACAGAAGTTCTAAAAACAGAGTAGAAGTTAACCCTTTGTAAGGGAAATCAACATCTACAAAAGAAATTTCCTTTTGCAAGGGTGTCTTCCTCTCTGTACCAGAAAGAGAAGGACGATTCTAAATCACAAGAGACCCTAATCAATAGAGAAGTCACCTTAAATCTGCATAACAAACCTTATTCTTGTTTACCATAGTTTTTCTGGTCACCCCCATCTTGGCCTTCCCACACCTTTATTCCTTTGTTTTTAGCTGGAGACGGTATTTAAATCTGAATTATAAGTCACCTCTTGGAGAGCTGCTCATTTTCCTGTGTGTCTCCCATGTATGTATTTACACGTTAATACACTTCTGCTTGTTTTTCACTTGTTAATCTGTCTTTTGTTATCAGGGCCCCAGACTAGAATTTAGAAGGGCAGAGGGAAAATTATTTTTTCCTTCCCTATGCATACAAGCACACCAAGGTGCTCCGGCAGAGCCACTCCCTAACAGAACCAAGAACGGTCAGAGGTTTTAGTGCCCAAGTGAGAAATTCTCCCATCAGCTGAACCGATTACAATTCCATGAATTGAAAGTTGGAAATGCGATAGTGTCACCATAGCTTTCCTGATGCCACTGGGTAAGATGCAAAAAAAGATGCTATCCAGTATTCAATAAGATAATTAGTGACAGAAAAAGTATAAATAACAGTAGCTTCCTGTAACAGGCAATAATGGGATGTAAAATATAATGGAAAAAGATCACTTTCACAGTAACAACAAAAAGAATAAAATACTTTGGAGTTAAAAAAGGAAATAAGGTCCTGTGGGGGGAGGGGAAGAGAAAACATTACTGAAGAATCTAATAAAAGATTTGAATAAATGGAAGGCTACAATGTCATTCTTTACAAAAAGACAATATTTTCAACTGTAACTTTCACTTCAAATTATTCAATAAGAGAACTTAATAAGACAATTTTACATTTTATTTACAAAAATAAATGAACAGGAGTGGACAAGGAAAA